TCTTTCCCTCCGTATTCACCAGTGCTATACTGGCTGTGAGTCTCAGAGTACGCCTCTGGAGCAGATGAAGACATTCAACGAAGAACAAGGACATCTCTCAAGTACTCTTAAGTTACTGGCTCTAAAAACCAAAGCCTCTCAGAATGACTTTTGTGCTTCCTAGATTAAAAAAAAAAATCAAGTCCCGCAGGTTTCTGTTGAATCCTCTCTATTATCTACATAATCAGGATTTATCCAGACAAATAGTGAGGAGGAAATGATGGATTTGCTATTAGTCAGCAAAATTTGCAGTTTATTTGCAGAAGTAACTATGGCTAATGAAACTGCTTTCTCCATCCTGCATTAAATGTGGCTCTACAAGCAGAAATAGGAACACTCTGAAGAAAAAAGCAAATGCTCCTGCCAAGCTGCGAAAAGCAAATCCTTATGCAGAGCTAGTTTAAGACATATACTTTACTTTGTTTTAAGGACTTTTATGCTAGCAAACCTTCTACCTTCTAGTTCAATTGAATCAGCAATGCAGAATACGCCATCTACAACATAATGACCAGGACAGATGATGACTGTGTCTCCTTCATAACAGGCATTTACAGCTGCCAGTGGATCATTGTGAAACTGTAAAAGGCAAACAACGTAATCAGTTCCTGAAGAATGCTATAAAAATGGATGTATTTATGCCCTTAAAACTTGCTTTTCAATTAAACGTTGTTGCTTTTGCTCAAAAAAAAACCCTTCTTAACTGAATTCAAGAATCATAGCACACTGGACAAAAACAGCCTTAAAACATTCCTTTGATGTTTGTGTCATGTCTGTTCCCCCATGAGAAAACTGGGGCAGAGACACAGATTGAAGAGTATATGCATTGGAAAGCAAACCTCAATATGGCCTTGGTTCCAGGCCAATATTTGAATTGTGCTTCAAGTGACTTGCCATGAATTACTAAAAGAAATAGAAGACAGAAGGTAAGTAAAATAAAACACACAAACTCAGCAACTAGATTTGAGCTGGTCTGAACACCACATAACCCTTCGCTCCTGGTGTGAGTCACCCCAGAAGAGGATACAGATATTATAGTGGCAAATATGGGGTCTACATGGTCCTTTTTCTTGCCCAAAGAAGGCAGGCTGATATCCTTCACAGATATCACTGGGGGATTCTCTATTGAAGTATAATAAATAGTACAGAAAAATTGCACATTTATTGCTTCCCAGCAAATTCCAGGGCAAGCGAGAGCGTTTTTCAATTGTCAAGTCAGAAAATCTAATTTATAGCCCAAAAGTTAATCCAGGACCTTCCCTGTGGCTCCATTTTAGCAATCTGTAATTCATGAACTTGATCAGAATACAGCAAGCAATTTCAGAATATAAAACTTCACCCAAGGCATTCAGACTGTTCTTAACTGCTGAAGTGGCAAGTCCTGTCTGAATTCACTAAAACTATACATAATCACTCTAAAATAAATGTATCGCCTACACAGAGCTGAAGCAACAGGATGACATTTCTTTCTTCAAACTCTAGGTCATTATCAGTACCAACAAATAACACAGGTATTTCGAAACTAAATGTAAGTATTATGCTTACCATGTTTCATCGTAGCATTATTACAGAAGGTTTCCCTCATTTCCTACACACAGGAAGGAAACTGCTTGTACAGGGTACTCAGACACAAATGAATTTAAAAATTATTTGTATCACCCATCTTGCCAATTATTGTTTAAGTTAAAGTGCTTTTTTTGAACTAACAAAAAATAACACTGTGCAAATGTAGTATCTTGCACATGATAAATTAACTTATTTTTCCACATTGTTTCTTAAGGAGGAAAAAGTATTAGCAGGCAATTATCCTACCTGTACCTGTATTTCTAGTTCTTCACCACAAGATTCAGGGCAAAGTTTGTCCCTTATCAGTGACTGCAGCAGACTTGCCATCATGGTTGAGGATACAACATGAGTGATCTTGGTACCCGTTGGTCTCAGTCCTTTAGCTTGGAGACCAATGTATTTTTGGTAACCAAACACATACCTAAAACAAGAGCAACAAAGCCATCAGTTCTTTCTTCAGTAAAGAACATACACATTTGGTTTCCCGTATGGCCGTCCTCCTTGCACAAACCCACTAAGTACCTCAGCAGAGGATTCTCAATTAGTTTTAGCTTTTGTTTCAAGTGGTCTATTTTCTCATACAATTTTATCCCTTCCACCATAGAGACGTTTTCTACTTCTGAGTCCGAATCGCTGCTTGATATGCTGTTCCTCACATTTAAAAAATTCCTGTAAAGCTCTTCACACTGAGACAACAAGTTCTGGTAATCAGCTACAAGCCCAGAAGGCACACGGTGTTCAAGGATGTCATAATGCCTGCAATTCAGAGCAAGAGGTCAGTATACTTCGCATTTACAATTTTGAAAGATCAAATACAAACCCAGAGAGAACCTGAGGAGTTTTGCATCAGTACTTTAGTCAAGATTCTTTGCAGTCTATATCAACACTGCTCAACTTTTTTGGAAATAGCAAAATCAAAAACCTTAACAGACAAAAATTACTTTCTAAATAGTTGCCCGTCCACCTTGAAGAGTTATACACAATTATCAGAAACTCACTCTAAAACAAAGGCATAAGCACAGCTATAAAAAAACAGTAAGAATTCAGAAGGTAATTAGTTATAAAAATTAGTCTATTTTTAAGCATTTATTAAAAAAACCTGAGAAAATAGTGTCTGAAATAGAAGAAAAATCCTACAATGTGAAGTGTCTATTATCAACAATCTAACCAACTACCTGGACAAAAATGCAGAATGAATAAGAAAGGTCTTATCAGCACCAGATGAAGATGTGAAGGTACTACAAAGCAAATTTTTCACCATCGCAAGAGTATCCTCTACAAATGAAATTGCAGGCCAGAAAACGCCAGCTCAAAGTTGCATTGCCAAAGTCAGAAAGATGAGGACATCTGCCAGCTAGACAGTGCGTAGAACTCCAGGGCCAATCACGTAGGACCAATCACGGTCACTACAAAAGCTGGACCGCCATTAAAGATATTAATAAATCAAGATTTAATTATCTTGCACCATTTTTGTAGGGAGCCAAATGAACACAGTCTAAATAGCTCTATTCAAGAGGCTACATTAAATAAGGACAAAGATATTCCCTCAATTTTCAGAGGTTCTTTCAGGTTGCACTTAAAGCATGCTACAAAGAGCAAGAAAATTTGTAGTCAGAGCAGTCAGTATCTATACAGTTCCAATAAACAGGGTGTACAGAAACACAAAGAGCCTCACAACATGTTGGCAATGGGGTTATCAGAGGCAGAGGAAGTCAATGCAGCATGACTAACAGCAGAAGAATTTACAGCAATATAGAAATATAAAATATTTGAAGGAAACTGAATGTTGTACCTAATTTGTCCTGAAATGCATGCTTTATATTTTAGATCATATGCTGGTCACTATAAAAGCACAAAAAAAATCTTGTTTTTCAAGCTTTAGTCAAACAGTTCATACAGCTTTACTTGCCTCAGAAGACTAGTACAACCTAATGTGCAGTGTAAAGATACCGTCTGCTCTCCTTAAAACAGTGCACATCACAGACCTGAAGTTTAAAGCATCATATGTTTCCATGCATTGAAGACCAATGTTATTCTGAGTTGACACACCAGTGCTTAGATCACAACCCAGGACAGCATCAACATCATCAGTGCAGTTTGGAAGACAAGCTTTGTACCAAGCACGATATGGGAGAATAAGAAAGGATAACATTTGCTTTTCTGCTTGAAGACATTGTTTAAGTATTTTGGATTCTTGCTAAAATGGCTGTAAGGCCATGTACATTGTTAAAAAAAATAAAAACATTATCCAGTGGCATATCATTGCATTCTGGTTTCATTCTATGCAAAGTCTCCATAAGGCTCCAAAAACTCAACAACAGAATAGCCATTTGCTGGAGTGTACAAATGAAATTAAAAGAAACCCATATAATTTCCATATCCTCTTAATTTGTACAATCTCAGAAAAACATAGTCACAGCAGAGTCCTTAAATGTCACATTGTATCCTGTTTGAAAGAGAGGCCTGCAGCCACCCTTACAGCATGCGTAATTATACTAATTTCTTCATAAAGCACACGCTATATGCTATATTCTAGTGCATGTAATATCATATTCTAAATAGCATTTGAGGGTAGGCTATAAATATTCACTGATGTAGTTCCCCAGCAGTATCAAACCTGGATTCGAATGACACACAAAATTCCAGGTACTCATGATGCTAAGTTATAAGTAAAGAAAAGGAATTGAAAACTAACTTTCATGAAAGACTTAAGGAAAAGATATCTGTCAAATCTCAGGGGAAAACCTACAGTAAGAATAACTTGTCAATTATTCTTTCCAGGAATGTTTTATGGTGTGCTTTCATTATTTAGCACCCTCAAAAATATAACCAGACTGTCTTGTGCACTGCTTCAGTTCCATATGGCAGAACTGCATTAAAAACGCACCTTCAGAAAACCTAATGCCAACTAATCCCACTAGAGAAAGAAATACACACATTCCTCCTTCCGCATGACCAATTTGCAAGTTTTTGTTTACATTGAATTCCATTCTGGTTCTTATTCTACGCCCAGAGGTATCAGAGCATCCCACGCTAGCTTTAATTAGGATTACAATTCATACATCTGAGTTGAAGGAGGCTATAGCTAGGTTTGGAGCGCCATCTGATGGAAGGTCAAGGATTACAGGGAAAAACTGAGGGCTCAGAAATCAAGTGGCAACCTCAGTTGCACCCTCTTTCCATACAAAATTTTGACCAGACAGTGAATGCTCTTAGAACAAACTTGCTCTGATTTACTAGTGAATGTTGGGTTTTTTTTTAATCCCGTTGTGCATCACTATTCCCACATCACCCTTTCCTGTGGTTCTACCCCAATAATGTGAAAGGTGTTGCACTTACAGTCTCAGTCGAGGCTCAACACATCGCACAAAGTAATCAAAATCATCCTCCTCCTCCTCGTCCCAGATCCTCCAGATGCACTGGTAGAAGAACCTTTTAAAGCAAAGTAAGCCTTTAATCACACAAAGGAGGTCACATTTGCCTGGAGCAGGGACAACAGCACTGGAAACACGGAAGTAACCAATTTGAGAATTCATGTCCAAGCATCATGTGCTTCCAATTCCATATTACTGTCCTGTAAACTATTTAGTATACACAGAAGTTATCTTTCTTGTCTGTTGTTTACCTGCATAAAGATTTTTATTTTGTGTATCTAAGTTCAAAATTTATAATAGCTTGAGTCCCATTTTCATCAAAAGAGAGTGATCAGCTAAAAGCTGGATTTGAAAATGAAACTTACACTCTGAAGACCTTGAGGGTTTTTTTGGTGGTTTGGTTTTGGCCAGGCATCCTTCAGCTAAGCTTTCTTTTTGACAATGAGTATGTCACCTCCATCATTCAAGTTTAGATCTCTACTACTGAGCAATTGTCAAAAGAATGTGTCTCTCCTCCCTTTTTCCACCCGTACCCACCACTTCTGAAATGGCCCATTTTCTAGACAGGAAGGTCATTCCTCCCGTTTTAGCTTTTTCATCCAACTCTACTGCGTATTGGTAGACAGCTTTCAAACAGCATGTAGTATATGAAAGCAATGGAGGTGGAAAAGAGACAGATAAGAAAGGAAAAGAAAACAGAAGAATAAAGAGCAAATTTTAGGGGAGGAGGCAAAATGCATAAAAAAGAATGGGACAAAAATGGAAAAATGTCAACCAAAAGGTTATAGAAAAGAAAGGAACACTGCACTAGAACCAGCAAGGTGATATAAGCCAAGGAAGTCTGGGGTGCAGAAGAGAGGGAAAGCAACACAAATTCTTTTCCCTCTCTTTTGACACAGAAAGCAGCCTGATAACAAGGTGCAGCTAAATGATTATGTGATTACCCATAGCTGCAGAGGACACCACAGATTTTCATAAGTAGTCTCCTCATAGTACCAGTCATCAGATTTACTTTGGAAAGCTTGCCTTGTAGAGCTTCCAGCATGACCACAAGAACTCAAGGCACCACCCATTGGATACTACCAGAATGTAATTGTTCAAGACAAAAAATAAGCCTTGAGCATTTTCCTACCTGACATGCTCTATGGCTAGTGCTGTCTGGTCAAATTCTCCCGACTCATCATACACAACCCACAGCTCCTGCAGTGGTATCTGACGCTCCTTCAGCTCCAAGAGTTCCTGCATGCACTCCAAGGTAAAGGTGCTATCCCGTGACTCGCACAGGAAAGGCTCACTGAGTTGCACAACTGCTTTCAGAGCAGAGTACTCCACATCAACAACCTGTTGGAACAAATATTTCTTAAGATTTCTCAGAACCTTAGATACAGCTGAGGAAGGCTAACATGACATGCTTAAGTCAGCAGGCCATACTGCAAGTGCCAGTGACCCACACAAACCAATGCACATTGCATGGTACGGCAAAGGCAATCTATTCAGCTGAAGTGATAGGCCCAGAATTAAGCTTCTCAGAACCACACATCTAGCGGTTTTTCCACATTCAAAACTTTGTTCAAATCCCTCATAATACTTATACAAGGACAGTAAGCTGCTTCCCTACTTTGGTCTGGTTTTTGGTTGGGTGGGTTTTTTTTGTTTTGGGGGGGAGTTAAAAAAAACTAAAAAAAAGGCAAAAGCAGTTATCCTCAAACAAGTGAGTACCTTACAGTTCTTAGACACTCCTTTGATGCTCATTTTTCACAGTGCCCACATGACACAAACAATCTAAAGAGTTAGTCTGGGCCAGTGAAAGCCATTTTGTCACTAATTGGGCTGAAAAGCTGAGAGGGTACAAAGATTTTTCCCTGTTCAAACATGTAATGGAACAACAATTTTGAACATCCAAGGTTTGCATAAAGATGTACAACTTGCACTTTGAGAGACCTAGAAAAGGAGTATCCCAAACCAGCTATCCTCAGTGGGTCTACAACAGAACTATGCAATGCAGAAGAGTTACTGTCAGTACCAAGGTGGGTTAAAAGGAAGAATTTTACTGATAAAAAAGGCGAATGATCAAAGCTTGATATTTGAAAAGACTACATTACAACAGCCAGCTCTGGACCAAGTACTTATCCCTTCTGTGCCCACAGAGTTCTACCTCACAGCTCACTTGCACTCATTTGGGGTTCCCCCTTCCTGGTTAAGGCAAGGAGCCCTTTGAAAAAATTCCTATTACTCTAGCCATCACTGGCAATTAGATGTGAAAACATTACTATTTTCTACCAGCTCATAAACTTCATAGATGAATGCTCTGTTACAGAAGTAAACTACATTAATTGGAGACAAACACCTGAGCAACTGCATCATATTTACCTCAACAAGGACCTCAAACACATTAGTGCGCCAGACCGCCTGCCATCCAGATGGTTCAAGGACCTTCTCCAGGTACTCAGCTGTGAATTCTTTCACTTCAGAAGCTTTGCAGTCAGCTAAAAAGAAATTGAAGACAGTACATTTACGCAAGGAAAGAAAGAAGTCCTCCAGATCATTGGAAAATGAAAGCCAACACAATAGAAATGTTCCTTTACCACATCTAAAGTTGGACTTCATTCTGTTTTGCTCATGATAACCACCAGCATTTTTGCTGTCTCTTTCAGTACTGAGCGAGCTGGACAGTCATCTGTTTTGTGCTTCTCTGGAAGAAGAAATCCAGTACTCAACCTTCCAGGGACTGAAGGTTTCAGTGTCAGTGTATTAAACAGCTAACCTGTGCCTCATCTTCAACTGTCTTACTTCACACAAAAAAGTTCTAGTAAGATCAGTTAAAACAGGACACAGGTATTAGCACTTTTGCCTTTCAACCGTTCAGATTTTATTTACTTATATTAAAACCATTGCCTCCTACTCCACCAGCTAGAGCAGCTAAGGTTACAGCATAAGTGATGGCGGGATACTATATCTTTTCTAGTCCCCGCTAAGACCACCTCTCAGTTTAATACAGAATTGACTCCATTTAAACTGGATCATTTAAACAGTCACTACAAGAAAACTAACTACATGTTCTTTTTCTACTAAGAAATTACTTACCCAAGATGTAATCCTGGTAAGCTTTAAATCGCTCATAAAACAAAAGATGATTGGTATGAAAAATATCTGGAAAAAGCACATTCCCATCTGGCACAGTCCTTCCTAAAGCAGTTCCTGGTTTGTCACGACTGCCATAATCGCTACAGGAATCCTCCTCTTCCTGGAACAGATCTGGGGAGAGGAGTGGGAACAAAGCGAACCCCCACAAACTGTCAGTTCAATGCAATCATCACTTACTCTATTCCCAAAGAATTCCTGTTCAGCCCAAGATCTTTCACAAATCTGCTTTCTACAACAGATCTCTAATTATCCTTCATGAAGAGACTTACTTAGCTACTACTTGCTCTTTTCTTCAGAATATTTACCCTGTCCCAAAAGCGGATCTCCCTATTTGTTGCCACCTGCCCTGAGCTACAGTTACATGCTAATTTACTTTATTCTATATGTAAGATTTAAAATCCTTTAGGTAATACATTACCATACATGTACATATTATGCCTTGTTAGTACACTGCCTGCATCACCTAGACATGGTATCAAGCAATAATCAAAAGGATTCTGGAACATGTATACAACCAGCTGATCCCACACACAACTGATCGAAAATAATGCACAGAATTATTGTGAGCAAAGAGCAAAATATAAGTAAGATGCATGATAAAACTCAGCTGAAGATGTGTTTTCACAGTTGCCCTTTCCTTCTCTTACACCTTTTCCTGTTCTTCACTACAAGCATTCTTTTGTATTTTACTAAACTAACAAATAACAAAGTCTCCACATCCAATATCTCCATTGTTGTTCCAAGCAACATACTTAGAAGAGACACAACATTTTAATTTTTAGCCTGCTTAAATGGACAGTGGCTGAATCTTTACTTTGAAGGGTTTGATGCAACAATAGCACCCCTTTAGAAGTCTCCATAAAAGTGTCTCCACTTGTGTTCACATTACAAACTCAGTGAACTCAGTCACTGTTGATCTTACAGTGTCCTCAGGCCTAGTCATCTGTAAGTTCAGAAAATATCAGAGTGATGACTGCAGTAAACCAAGGGGGGGGGTGATGATCCAGGTCTTTTTTTTTTAGTTAATATAACAGCTCAAGACACCCTCATTGTCCATAACTTGATTATATAACAATCCATAGGCTTCTGCATTTTCATTAGACTACAGTCTGATCTTTACTATATACCTAAAAAAAGATTTTTTTTTTAAATCACATTCTATTTCTAACACATCCTTTACATTTCAGGATGTTATGAAAGCTAGTAGTTTTGACCTCAAATTTGTTAAACTTCTTACATATTTGGGGCCAAATTCAATCAGCAAAACAAAAATCAGAATCATTGTATGAGATAATTACAAGTGCTTAGACAATATAACTTTTCTTTGTAGCAGAACCACTGTAATAACATGTAAAGAAAGAAAAATGTGATTTTAATATGATTTATAAAATACTTTAAAAGATTCCTATAAAACTGTAGCTATGTTACATGTACATAGTAAATAAGAATTTTTTTCCTACACACCCATAATCAAATCCAGCAACTACCATAGCAACAATCTCTACAAGCCACACTATGAATTCCAGAGCACAGCATACATTCCAGAACAAGCCATTTAATTTAACTTGCTCTTTGTTTACAACATATCAATAATGACGTGGCACTGAGCAATAACATTCAATAGATACTAAAAGCACCAATATTCCCATATTGTGCCATTAAGGCAGAGGGCAGAGAGTCACTTCTAAGAAACACTTTCCTCCGTCAGTGTTTCAAACACGCACACGCATGTGCTCCTGGACACTGGCTTAAATGCCTGCGGTGTGCACCTGACACACGCACCATAAGTTCATAATCAAAAGAAAAAAATACTTCACTGTGTTTATTTCCAAAGACATCCCTAAATTGCACCCCGGAGTACCACTTCTAGCCCAGTGCCC